CTTGTGAAAGTGTTGCCAAGAGACCCTCAACGTAGAGCTCAGTGGGTGAAAAATGCAGAGATTAAAAATGTTACGAATAATTCGGCACTATGAGAGGTGAAATGAAATTCCGTAAGGATAATTTTAGTCCATTGACGTGAAATGCCTAATGTTTCTGTTTTTTTTTATCCTTAGGTGCATTTTGCTCCCGAAATGTGGGAACAGAGGAGAACTGATAACAAACGCAAATTGAAACCCAATGCTGTACCGACAATTTTAAAAACCTCAGAGAAAATAGCAAAAATGATTCATCTGTCTTACTTTCGAGTAATGGGAGTGAATTACGTGTGTCATCTTATCCAATGACTGACAAATGTGTTGAAAACATTAACCTGAATCACGTGAATATTAGGATAGCAAAAAATGTTATAATAAAAATCTACTGATATGAATCCTTCTTTGGTGAGCGGTGATAATAATGATTTGCGGGATGAGAAGGTGGGTTGTTATGTATTCAATAAAAAAGCCGTCTATTTGAAAACATAATTAATTGTAAACCATTTTAGGTGACGTCGAATAATCATCATCATTTCTCCACGTTCCTAGGAACTGCATTACATGACAATTTGCCAGAGACTGAAGTTCGTATATTATACCATGAATAGAATGACTTCATTGGAACAATATTGAGATAAATTCAATCATTTCAGGTAAACGCTGATCAGCATTCTGGAGCTCTTGGATTTGGTGAGACCGGTGATACTGTCTCGAGTAAGAACGTAATCGAGAAATGAACAAGAGAATTCTAAAATTACAAAAATTGAAGAATAATTTACACTAAAATTTAGTAATTAAAAGGAATACAATTAGGAGCTTACAATCCTCTGTGCGGCAACTACGAAAGACATCACATGATGACAAATATAAAAAAGCTTTGGAAAAAGTTTTTACCGAAGATCAAATTCAGGCCTTGTTCTCGAAAAAGCGAAAAGCCCGAAACTGGTCAGACGAAACACTCCGGCGAGCTCTCCGATTGAAGCTGACTTTTCATTCTGTTGGATATGAGGAATTCCTTAATCAGGGTCAACCACTTCCTAAATTACGTACATTAAGAGTAAAATTGCAGGATTTTAAATTTCCACCGGGAATTTCAGATGATTTATTAAATTTTTTAGAGTACAAAAAAACATTTTTCGAAAAAGCCGCCGATCTAGAATGCGGTGTGGTCTTGGATGAGATGAGTCTAACATCAAGAAACGTCTTTGACCCATCAACTGAGACATTAATGGGCAATGTAACATTGCCCAATGAAGAAGGTATAGCCACGCATGGGATGGTTTTTTTATTAATTGGAATTCGCATGAGATGGAAGCATGTGGTTGGCTATCACTTCACTGGAAATTCATTTAATAGTACTACCTTGCGGGATATTATTTTTCAGATCATCCAAAAAGTTGAGTCGATCGGGTTCCATATTAATTTCATCACGTCAGACATGGGGAGTGGAAATTTGGGGGTATGGAGAAACTTGCGAATCGGAGCAGGACGGTTTTCAAAAACAACTAATGCCATAGTACATCCGTGCGACTTTGATCGATTGCTGTATTTTGTTGCTGATGTGCCTCACTTGTTTAAGAATTTGACACAATCATTGATTAATAATGAATGTTTCCTTAAAAATATAAGTTACCATCGAACACAGTTTTACTTAAACATTTCGATGAATTACTGACATTTCGACAAGATAACGAGCTTCTCCTCACTCCTAAATTGAAATCAGATAATTTATGCAAGCAAAATTCATTTAATAAAATGAGAGTTAATAAGGCGAAAAATGTTTTTTCCCATGAAGTCAGCTGTTCATTTGAATTGTTAGCCGAAGAAAATTGTAATCCAGCGTATCGTACAACTGCATGGTTTGCTAAAATCATCTCAAGATGGTTCTCTGTAATGACTTCACGGAGTTGCAAATTGGCGCTAGGAAAAAAAGAGGAGATTATACTCTTATACACTTATACTGATACAACAATTTTTTTGAACAAAATTATCGACTTGTTTACGAAATTGGAAATTGGTGGTGGAGATTTTAAACCCGTACAAAGAGGAATTATTGTATCGACAACATCGATTCTACAACTTACTGCATATCTTATACAACAGCGCAATTTTGAATTCGTTCTGACTGGTAGATTCACTCAAGATTGTTTAGAGATTCTTTTTTCGTGCATACGACAGAAAAATGTCATTCCACATTGCGTTCAGTTCAAAAATGATTTGAAATTAATCTCAGTTGCAATGTACATGCGTCCAATATCCAGCTCAAATTATGAAACTGATGATAGAGAATATCTTTCAGGATTTTTGAAGTATTGGACATAATCAAAATCTGCAAGTCGAACGTAAAAAAAAATTGATACAACAAACGTAAGTCCTCAGATTCCTCCGTATGATCCCAACTTAGCTGTGCCTTTGAATAATTTGGAAGCTAATTCTCTCTATAATCTGGCAGGTTTTATGATAAATTCAATCCAAAAAATGTGTACGACTTGTTCTGAATGCATAAAGTCAGTCGGTTCTAGAGAAGCTCGTTCTTTACCATTCGCAAAATTTACACGATTAAAAAGTTATAATGATAATTCACTTTTTTTTGTGAGCGAAGAAACTTACCGAGTTTTTTTTGGAACTAGAGCATATTTTCCGATATTATTCACAGTATTTCCATTCGATGAAGACTATTAAAATAAAATCTTTTTTATTTCAACAATTTGAAAAGAATGTCCAAGCTACTCACATCTTGAATTGTCATCAGTTGACTTCTAAAATATTCAACAAGTTTGCCTTTGTAAAATTAAAACAATACAATAATAAGGAAAATCTCACACCACTAAAGAAATTCGACAGTAAAACTATGGCAATGCATTATAACATAAAGTAATGTATTATCCGTTTGTTCCACAGTTAATTGTTCCCATCAGAACGATGAAAATACACTAAAGAACTGATGAGATTTGGTTTATGTAAAAAAAGAATATATCTATTGTATTTATGTACTTATTGTATACATTGTATATATTATTTACAGACAATTCAATAAAACAATTGGAGAAAAATTATTGGATAATGAATATCGCCTCACAATTAGAAAATATTCAAAACAGTAAAAAACACCTCGTAAAATACGAATGAAAATCTAATTAATTCAAATATTTAATGGAGAAGAAATAAATTTAATTGATCCAGTTTTACTTTACAGTTTACAGTTTCAAATGTGAACGTAATTAGAATATTTTTAGGGAGTTCGATTTTTCCCGTCAAAATTATTGATCAACTCAAATTAAATAATTAATTGATCGAATTTACTGAGTTAGATTTGGTTATAACAGAGGTTCAAATTATTCGATCCAAGTGATTTGTATATCACTGAGATTCATTTGACTTTGTAATTCCAAAGAATGACCGTTTCATGAACACAGAAAACTATTTTTATAAATAATTTGCCATTACTGTACATTGACCTAGTTTGTAAATGGGCGGGAATTACTCAAAAATGGCGCGGCCAATCAGAACTGGAGGCGTCACGGCCAGACTCCCCAACCCAAGCAACACAGTTCTGGAGGGTATCCGCAAGTATACCAAAAAGGCAGACTAATGTCCGTCCAATAGGTATCTTGCAGTCATACGATAACTTTTAGTCAACTTCTAGGTAACTTCTAGACACAAGTTACCTTTTTGGACAGACATTAGACAGCCTTTTTGGTATACTTGCAGATACCCTCCAGAACTGTGCTGCTTGGGTCTTATTAAAGTGTCTCTAGTTCTTACTTGACATTTTTTCCAAGCAGTATTGACCACGGCCAGAAAAAAGTTGTATCAGAGCATGAATGTACACATCCGTTCGAGCACACGCGTTTTCTCCACAAGAGTCGAGCACAGCTTTGAACTGCACACGCGGCAATGTCTGCAGAAACTTTGTCCACATCTAGTTGCGCAAATTAGAGATTAACACATCACTAAAACTACATATGCTTCATCTTTACATAATTCAAATACACAACCGATTTTAAACGATTGAATTATGCGCTTCCATTATGGCCACACTGAACAATAGCACACATATTATTGTGAACTTTTCTCATTTGCACATGCTCCTAATTCCACAGATTCGCATTCGCCACATGGTAATTGATACGCTCATCAAGTGCGCAGTCATGTTCTCCACATTATATAATGGTTGAGCGAATCTCCACATTGATCTTTTTAAACTCCACAATGTGGAGATTCAACTACACACCGATATTTTATTTTCTTATGAAATGCCACATCAAAAACGTAGGGAATTCCATTTTTTCATGAATTTCCACACGTTTTTAGTGCGTATTCAAATCTACACATTGTAGAATTCGAAATGGACAATGTGTAGATACGCTTAACCAATCTATGATGTAGAAAACATGACTGCGTACTTGATGAGCGTGTAAATTACCAAAGTCAAATGAATCTGTGGATTTAGAGCCATGTGGAATTGCAAAAGGTTCACAACAATATGTGTGCAATACTTTGGTGCGGACTTGATGCAAGTGCACATGTTAATTGTGTAAAATTGATTGTGTATTTAAGTTGTGTGGAGATGAAGCATGTGTAATTTCAGTGATGTGTCAATCTCTCATGTGCGCAACTAGATGTGGACAAAGTTTCTGCACACATTGCCGCGTGTGGAGTTCAAAGCTGTGCTAGGCCCTCTTGTGGAGAAAAGGCGTGTGTTCAAACCGATATATACATTCATGCTCTGACACAACTTTTTTCTGGCCGTGGTCAATACTGCCATTTTTCCTAACGTCTCAAATGCGATTCTTGTCCTTCATTTTAGCCTTATGTTTCACACTCAGGATCACTTCTTGTCTAAGATTCGCATGCGCCCCCTCCCATAATCATCTTACGTAACGTATGAACAGGTCCCTAATAATTTTGTCAACAAAAATAAAAATTCAATATTTTTGCGCATAATTAAATGAAAACAGAAATGATTTGTCAATTTTTTATAAGAATCGTCATTAAATTTTTTTATTCATTTCAATGTGAATAATATATTGATGCAGGTGTTACATTCCCATTTCTAACAGAAAATTTATATAAAACCTCGGTGTCGTCCATTTCAGTCATAATTGCCATTAAACACAAGAAACAATGAAAATCACACCACAGTTTAATCAATCACGTGGCACACTTTATGTATTTTGTCCGTGAGCATCATTTACGATCCTTGAAAATTTATGAACTTCGCAGGCCATTGTATATCCTGTCTACTGAAGATTGTTACAGTAGTTCCTTGATGGCTAAAACAAATTGAATTAGATCAGTATTCATGAAATATCATCAATAGGTAATATAATCATCCCCGATTGACATGATAAATCCAATCATCTTTTTAATCCACCACTATAAAAACTTATTTAGTTTTGCTGGGATAATGGTGATTGAAATTGAAATAAATTAAATAATGAGTCGAAATAACAAAAACGACAGTAGGATTGCTAATAAAAAAAATAAAGAGAGCTGGCGTGAGTCTTAGAACATTGAGGAGTGTTCTACAACGAATAAAGTTGGCAGTGTCTTACAAACACGGTATATGGTAATTACCATAGACGCAAGGTAACGTTTACCATGTAAGGCTTTTTTTGTCATTGATCTATGGAAAGTACCATACGTCCATGATATTTTTTCCGTATCGCCTGTGATGCTTTACCGTAAATATAAGGTAAAGTCTACGGCGTATGGTAATTTTTTCCATGGGTCTATGGCCATTTCATAAATGTATGAAAGTGTGCCGTGGGTGATAGGTAATTTGTGCGATGCATGACTTTTGCTCATGAGCTGCTCAGAAATTCACTATCTCTCAATGAAATGTTGAACATTACATTCAAATTTAAGTCGCTCGGCTCCATTCAGCCCGGGAAAAAACGGCGGACGTGGAGAAGAAAATCGCGATGAACAGATAAGAAAAAAGTCGACAATTGAATTCAGTCAATGGTTATAATTAAATTCTATGCTGGAACGGTGGAACTATTCCGGGAATATATTGGACATGACTAGGTTTAGAAAGAAATATCGAAAGACTTTTTTATTGAGAACTGAGGCACGTGGAAAATCGAGAAAAACCATGAGCAAGGTGATAAAAGTCGACAAGATAATGGAGATGACGATCCCTCCAATCTGAGTGAATTTTCTTTGCGGAAGAGTGAGGTCAGATATTTCGTAAAATAATGCACAGTTCAGAATGAACGCGCAGATAGTCTTCATTCGCGTTCAGAATGGTCTAAAAACTTTGAAATTCCACCAGGAGAATTCAGGGGCGGTTTGTTCATGTTCCTTTTCCTCTAATGGTCCGTTTTGCAAACGGAACTTTAGCAAACGGTTCATTGAAATAACACATGGAGCCCTCTGGCGAAACGGATGATTGGGCAAATGGACCGTTTGCATTTTTTGCAAGCTTCGAAACTCACAATTCCATTGCCAAGTAATTTTCCTTATGTGCGCTTTCATATTTGATTATTATATATTTTACAAATAGTTATTGATTTAAACAGTAGTTCTCTTTATTATATATTTAAAGAAACGATTCTATTAAGAGTAGCTTCAATGAAAAAAATACACAAGTGAATGACTGTTGATTCTGGCTATTCATTACCCACCAAGCTTGGGCAAAGGTTAGTAAAGATGGTCTTCGTCCATCTTTGGTTCGAACCTGATAGCCAAGGCTCAAGATGCGCTATTGACTGAAGACTGGCTTAACCATCGGGTAAATTATGGTCCAAGCTTGTTTACCAATACTCGGCAAGTCGAGGTTGAGCCAAGCTTGGAACGGGTGTTGAAACTCGGGGATTCCTGCACGGGATGTACGACCGCAACTCGTTATGAACGTTATTATGAGCAGCCCCTTGACACTAAACTCAATGCCCCTATACTATATATACGCCTGTCCACACTAGTGAGGCCGTTTCTGACGGCCACTACGCGGTGCTGGATGATACCTGACTGATTCCCCCACTCCTCCCACTTCGCTGCTCCGTTTTGAATGAACCACTGGTACCATATGCATATAAAAAATAAAGGATAAAAGACTTATTTCATTGCAATAAAGTGAAGATAAAATAAGATCATTATGGCTACTTGTGTAGTCCCCGATTGCACATCAAGTTATTCCAATATAGTCCAATCCCAACAAATTCCATTTTTTCACCATTCCGAAGGCCTTATTGAATGAGTGGAAAGAAGCTACAAAATGTGAGAAGTTGTGCGTAGGCAGAGCTGTTTGCGAAAAACATTTTTTAACTGAACAAATTGTGTGGAAACGGGAACATGTGGATGCTAATGGGGTAGTCCACGGAGTGGTAAGTATGGCTAATGCATTCATTAATCAGCACGATTTTTTTATTATTCTTTTTCTTGGTAGACACATTTGAAAATTCCACGTTTGAAGCCCGGTACAATTCCATCAATTGTCCCATGGAATTCAGTAAGTCAGTGGAATAATCAAACATAGGAAAAATGTATTTTGAGCATTTGCTAACAGCAGATACGGTTCTACCTCCGAACTGTGTAAGAGAAATCCTTAGATGTGAAAATCTGGATGTACTCCACTTTTACACATTGAAAATAACTCTAAAGAAAAGAATTTTCAAGACAGTGGTATGGAAAGAAATGATAAGAATCAGTGACTTAGTAGCCCAAGTATACGTCCTTACACAACAAGTGCAGAAGAGATGTTTATCGAATAATTTAGAATGTATTCAGGATGGGGAAAGCTTACAAAAATTGATTGACGTTGCGGACAAGTTGGGAGTTTGTGGAGGCTCTCCATTACAAGCTGAGTTGGAGGAAACCACGTGTGAAGTTGTTAAGGATGTTAGTGATATCTGGTACCATAAGTCTTCTCGTTTGCTGATTAATTGAGATGATGGGGAGACAATTTGCTCTTTTTGTAAGCGCATAAAAAACTGTACGCCAAAAAGTTAAACGCCCTCTTGGTAAGCCAACAAAACGTATCCCCGTCATTGTATCGCCAAAGAGGAGACTGATGATATCAAAGATAAGAACAAAGCTTAATTCCTCCATGAAGTCGATTAATCGGGCCAAAAAGAGGATTGATAAGTGCAAAGAGAAGCTTAAAGCATGTCGTGATAAACTTGGAGCTTTCCAGGAATCAGACATCGATAAATACGAGAAAAACGGGAAGATATTGAAAAATCAGTCCACTGCCTTGAAAGAAATAATCGCTGCATCCAAGAGAAAAAGCTCAAAAGGCAGAAGGTATACAGAAGAATGGATTTTGTTGTGTCTGCTATTTTACATGCGCTCTCCAACTGGGTATAAATTCATTTATGAAACAGAGAAATGCTTCCACTACCTCACATTCATACGATTCGAAGATATCTATCGACCATTAAAGTCTCTTGTGGTTTTGATGACAAATTCTTTGCAGTACTCAAAACTGTCCTTGTAAAAAAAAATAGAGAGAAGCACGGGATAATCTTCCTAGATGAAATGGGCACACGTAAAAGTTTGGGAGTAAATTCCCAAAATCTTACGTATACTGGCCTAATGGATTTCGGTGAGGGCTCAGAAAAGGTTATAAATTTTAAAGAGCGAGCTGATCACGGGTTGGTGATTATGTATCAACCACTAGCAGGGGGTGCTGCTCAGCCGATCGCGGTTTTTGCTGCTAAATCATCTGTCAAGGGAGTAGTTCTTGCTCAGTTGATTGTGAAGGCAATTATTCTCCTAGAGCAAGCCGGAGTGAAGATTCACGGTGTTATAACAGACGGAGCAAGTACCCACAGGAGATTTTGGTCTGAAGTTGGAGTTTCTGGAAAAAACAGGACTCCAAAACTCCTTTCAACATCCTCTTGAGACGAATAGGAGTATCTGTCTTTTCAGATATACCACATCTGATAAAAACGATACGCAATCGTTTGTATAACAGGGGAATCCTCTCGGTGTGTCATGTTGATTACATTCTGGATTAAAAATAGTGAAGTTATCTCACGGACACCTCTAATATTCATTTCTTTCTTCAAGATTGACCCTGAGAAACTATTTAATTAAAGAGTGTGATTTTCCACATGTACTGACTGGGAAAATGAACTGGGAAGACCCGCTGGAGGTTTGTTTTACATTACTTGAGCTCGTTTTTCTTCTTCTCATCGTGGATCAAGTTCATTCATCTTATGATTTCCAGAATGGACGAGGTAGAATGAGATAAAACTTTGATTTATTTTTAATTCATGGAGTCAATATCCAAAACTAGATGGAGAAATGAAGCTACTTTCATTTTCACAACGGGGTGATGTTTATCTCATTTTACCTCTGCACTCATGATCTGCATGATTGCTTTTGAGTTCAATTGATTTTTGGCATGCTCTTTCTTTTTCTGTCAATTTCCTCACTCTAGAAATTCTTTGATGCGTTACGCGAAGCTAGTGGGAAGAACGATCACCCGTCGACGCCTAATTTCCTCCAGATCTACAAAATCCTCTCCTGTTACAGTGTTTTGAAGCCCCTTCCCTGAACTGGGAACTGTACTGTAACGAGATATGAATTTGTCGAGCCTCTCATTACTCTTGCTGAATTGAAAGTGATTTATAAAAATCCAACAGATAACAGCAAATCTAATGCCATCAAAGCTAAGCTTAATGAAGTTATTTTGCATGAAGACTGGGATTTCGAACAAGTGTTTGACCATGATTACAGTCAGCCTGAAATTGCGCTTCTCAATTTCTTGGTTATGAATTCTCTTGAATCTAACCGAAAAGTCGACTTGATACAAGGCGCTATCTACTACCTGAAACAAGCAGAATTTTGGCGTCAATCACTCCGTTTTTCGGTTTGATTCAAGCCGAAAATTGGTTAGAATCAAGCCGACGTCAACTTGAATCAGTATTTTTTTTGGGTGAAACTATGCGTGTTTAAGCTCAGGGTCCTCTATTTCTGAAATGGACAGAAGTCGACTTATCCCCTGTCTCTCTAGCAACCAAACTAAGACCTCGTCATCGTTGAGTGTATGTTCTCTCCTCATTGCAAACTCGCGAAAGTATTTCATATATTTCTTATATCGAGACGAAAATATTAATAATTTTCACTAATTTTATTTACACCTCTCTTTTCAAGTTATATGAAATATCTCATCTATAATTCAATTGATTAGATGAGGGCGATTATACGTTTCTTTTTTCATTCAATTGAAATCCAGCATCACATTTTCCTTTTTCCCCTTCTGGGTCACCCTCTGGGCTTTTCTCTGAACTTTCGATTTTGCTGTTTCATTTTCTTGCTTTTC